CACTAAAATTAGGTTCAGTGCACAGAAACAGAATATAATGCCCAATTATTTGGTAAAATATAAAAGACGGAGTCACGGCGGGTAAATAGATACCAAACATGTCAAGCCTTAAAATTGCGTGTGTCCGTGAAACCGCAAATAACTACAATAATCAAAATTTTCCATAGGCGACGCTTTAAAAGCTTTTACGGCTCATCAGTTTAGTGCTAACAGTGATTAATGACCCTAGAATTATTGCTCTCACTTCGACGCTCGCAACGATATGTAACGTGTGGCACAAGTTTCGTTTTTGCACGTAGGCGCATCCAACACGTTTGCGTTGCATGTGCCTGCACGTGGGGGATGTTCGGTTTTTTTTTGTATTGTTTTTTTTATTTTTTTTATTCTTACTTTGATTTTTTACAATTTTTTTTTTTTTACACTCAACTTTATTGCTATGTGACTAACAAGTCCCCTATATATTAGCAAATATAATGTGACAGGTCCTCCTTATAGAGACATCAGGGGTCTTTCAGACACCTAATGTCACCTAGGGACCCCAAAGAAGCTGTTGAAGATCTGCTTCACCAGCTTCTTCTTCTGGCTCTATGCTGTAGAATGTGTGCAGTAACACCGGAAGTGATGTAATACACATCACTTCCGGGTCCACCTGGAATCCTGCGGATCTTCCTTCGATCCATCAGGTGAGACCCGCCGTGCTGGTCCCGGGCTCTCACAAGGGACAGCGGAGCCCAGGAAGCCGATGGCGGTACGGCAGCAGCGGGGGGAGGACACGGCGCCACACCGTACAAGCGTTCTGGCGCCTGTACAGACGCCGGATTGCATGTATTTAAACAGGAATCGCCGGCTGTTTAAAACAGTACCAAGAACACGGCAGCAGCAGCCGTGTTCTTGGTATAACCACTTCCAGCAGATGACGTACATTTACGTGAACCTGCTGGAAGTTGTTAAAGGAGACCTATGGGCCATAGTTCTCTTTAGGGTCACAGGAGGAGGCAGATCGCTTTTGGGCTAAATAAAGTGTGCCATAGTGCCGCATTGATTGGTGGGCATGGTGAAAGGTGGATGTTCATGGAAGACATGGTTTACAGCTTTTCACATCTTGCAGCACCAGGTTCCTTTTCTCTCAAGATTCGGTTGCATGACATTTCAACTTGGTGCTGGAAGACATCCCTTTGCTAGTCACTGTGATCACAGGTCTGAACAAGGTGACTATGACATGCCGAGCATGTGTCACTGATGGTGGGTCTTACTCGGATGCTGTATCTCTAGAAAAGTATGTTTAACAAGCAAGAATCCTCCTTATACCATCACCTGAGAGAGAGAAATTAAATGTTTGAGGTGCAGGGGGCGGAAGCCTGGACCGCTCTTGCCCCTATAGCTCAATATACAATTTTTGGAGATCTACTATATGTGATGTACTGCTGGTACCGTACTCCAGCTAAAAAGTTGAAATATGTGCCCTCCTATTCCCCCCGACTCCTTCCATGGCTGCAGTAGCTGGGGCACCAGGCTTCATATCTGGTGGACATATTCCTGTGCCTCTGTATTAAGATATTTAGATACATTAACGATGTTCTTCAGCTCCCTGTATATCGGAACCCATGGGACACTCCCTTTGCCAAGAAATAGTCAACATTCCAAAACAAGCTCCTAACTACACTCATCCTGCCAATTTCACTTCCCCACTCTTATACATTTGTTATTGCATTATGGTTAGACACCAGAGGGTCCTCTTAGGTGGGGGGAGGCTGGGGAGGGGATTCTGTGTTCCCTCTTCCCTTCATCTTTTTCCACTCATTTCTCTCCTTTGTCCTTGTTATGGCAGAGTCCCTGCCGGTTTTCAACTGGGCTCCAGATGGTGGAGATGGGTTGTGCTGATTGCTGGTGCCAAGTCAAGGCCCGAAAGATTGCCCCACCAAGGGATGAGCTGGATAGAAGGGCTCCAGTAAGGAGACCGTAATCCGGAGTGTGGTCAGGAAAAGGTAGAGTTCCAGAGAATGGTCGGACAGTCTGGGTCAGCAGCCAATAAGTAGATGGGAAACCAAGTCAGGTGACAAGAGCGTAGTCAGATCCAGGCACAGGTCAAGGCAGACAGCTAACAGAGAGAGCTAACGGTCCCTCTGCACACCACCTAAGACTCTCTTTACCATCTTCCCAGCCTACCTCTGCACCCCAGGTGCCTCCTAGGTAAAACCGTAGCCAATTCAAAGTGTAATTCTACTTATGCAACCAAATTAGGATAACATCTACTTCATACTACACACACACAGCGATCCAGCAATCTCGGGGTCCAATGCCCTGCTGCTTTACACCCGTTCCTGTGCCAGCCTGGTGTCTTTTCCTGGTTCTTGCAGCGGCGGCACCAGGGTGGGTGTCACTAATGTGGCTGCGTGATGACGTCCGTGGTGTGATGTCATCACGCATGCGAGGTGATCTATTTTACTGCCAGTGGCGATATTGACCCATGCGTGGACCAAGTGCTGCTGTCGGGCACTCGGTCCATGACCAGGTGCCTGACTTTTAGGAGGGGCTGACATCAAAATGACTACCAGTCATTTAGGTGTATTCCCCTCTCATGATGTCACCTGGTGCGGGCCGCACCCCCCTTATGACGCCACTGGCGTGTCACCAGTGGACCAGCTTTATGAACCAGGAAGAGACAGCTGACCCCCTGATAGGCTGCAGGCAACTGCATACATTTGCGCCTAAGCAAGAATCCAGGTAGTTCGGTAAAGTTTCCCATAAAATAAATTCTCTCACTAGCAGCTTGACTCCTGATCATGCGCATGCACTGTAGCATGTCATTATTGGGCCGGTTGCAAGAACCAGGCACATCAGTACATCAGTAGAGTACCCTGGGACCTCCTGGGATGTGTGAGTATCTCAGGGGGCTACAGGCAACTACAGACAATCGTTTGCAGCTAGACAAGAATCCAGGACATGCGGGGAGGGTATAATAAATCCAATTTTGAGAGAGTTGGGCCCCCCCACCCCCAACTCTCTCAAAATTGGATTTATTATACCCTCCCCGCATGCCCTGGATTCTTGTCTAGCTGCAAGGGGGGTAGGCGGGGTGTAGGTGAGATGACAGAAAGTGGGTAGGGAGGGTGGATGTCTGATTGAGGTGAATGTAGCTGTTTTAGTGCATTAATACAACAACACAGCAGAGTCCTGTCCTTTTTTATTTGCACTTTTTCAGTACAAGATATCGGGGCCCTCGGCCCCCTTCTTTTAATAAAAGATATGCCAAAGAAAAGTATCTCCAGTGGGTCTCAGCAGGGCTCTGTGTGCGGTTCTCACCAGGGCTGTGCATGGGTCTCATCAGGGCTGCGTGTGGGTTTCAGGAGCGCTGCGTGTGCCGTTCTCACCAGGGCTGTGTGTGGGGAGGTGCGGTTCTCACCAGGGCTGTGCAGGCGGGTGCGGGTCTCCCCAGAACTGTGTGGGCGGGTGCTGGTCTCACCAGGACTGTTATGGGCAGGTGCTGGTCTCCCCAGGGCTGTGCTGGTCTCACCAGGGCTATGCGGACGGGTGCTGGTCTCACCAGGGCTGTGCAGTCGGGTGCGGGTCTCATCAGGGCTGTGATGGGCAGGTGCTGGTCTCGCCAGTGCTGTGCGGGCCTCCCCAGTGCTGTGCCAGGTCTCACCAGGGCTGTGCGGACGGGGTGCCGGTCTCGCCAGGGCTGTGCGGACGGGTGCCGGTCTCGCCAGGCAGGTGCAGGACTCCCCATTGCTGTGCCGGGTCTCACCAGAGCCGTGCAAGCGGCGGGAAGGAGTAGGAGATGTTCAGCTGGCCATACACTGGTAGACCTTTGCATGAGCGTTCATACCAAATATCTCATCAGAACATTCGATAACGCCATCAGAGACTTGACGAATGTAATTCAAAGTTTCCTTTGATTTTGGAATAAATGGGGTGTCCTGAAAGAAAAAACACATTCACTGTTAGAATTTTGTTCATTCGAGAAAAAATTCCATTCCGCTAACTAGGTGTGCTGCAATGACATCATTACCTAATAGCACCCCAATGTAAGCCCTCACGGGCATTCGGGCAGGGCCCTCCTTACCATCTTGTCTTGTATTGTAATGTCTTCCTTATATTGTAAAGCGCTGCAAAAACTGTTGGCGCTATATAAATCCTGTATAATAATGCACCTAACTGTGACATGACCTATTACCATGCTTTGTGGTGCGATGTCATTTTATATAAAGTTGCGTGCATTAAACCCCCCTTCACATGCTTGCCGTGCAACATCACAGGTGTGCTGCAGGGTGTGATTAGCTGCGACAGGCAGTCCATGCAAATGCATGGTCTACCCTACTGCCTCCCATCTATGATATTACATAAATCAGGGTTTAGTGTTGGTGCAGGTTGGGTAGTAAACGACTCAATGTACCCCGCTATCCCCCCCAACCACCTTCCAAGCAGAGTTGTGCATCTTATGGGACATTGGGGGCAATGTACTAGAACTGGAGCAGACAGAATCTTGTCCATAGTAACCAATCAGCTTCTACCTTGTTAAGCTTTGAAAATGAAAGCAAGAAGCTGATTGGTTGTCATTCACAGCTGCTTCAGTCTTTTCTCTTTGTTGCAAGCCTGCAGGCTCTGGTACTTCCTCTATTCAATACAAATGGCCACAGTGCTCATCCTCCAGAGGTGCCTGGTGATGCCAGTCCACTAGGTGTGGCTCCTACTGAGGAACAGCAGCTGGCTACAAGCAGCTACACATCCCCTGGCGACTGTGCGAAGACACCTGTAAGCCACACACACCACCTATAAATGACACACGTAGCCATTTGCACGATACAGATACATCATTACACGTTCTATTGTCTCTATGAGGCTACAGACACGGCTCAGTTGCCATGGAGATATTATTCACACAGCTCCTCTCCAGAGCTACAATCTAGCCCCGCCTCTACCACGCCCCCTTGCGCTGTCTCATTGGATGTTCTATCCGTGGCAGCTCCGCCCACCGGCTTTCGTTCGTCTCCCATGTCACGTGATGAGCTGTTGATCTGCCTGTCTCCCAGCCAAAGAGGCAAGATGGCTGCGTGGTGCTGAGCCGGGCTGTGACGTCTGTGAGGTGCGAGTCCGTCCAGAGGTCCTGTGTTTCTGGGTGAGGTGACATCTCTGTGTGAGTGAATAGGGCTTTTCCTGCAATAAAGGGGTGACTATGAAGGCTTATTATATGGTGGTGGGTGTGTTGTTTATGAGGAGGAGCTCTGTGTGGCTGTCATTGCTGGATTGTTGTCATTGTTGTGTGATGACAGGCATAGCTGAGACATGACAGGCTGGCAGGATCTGAATGGACCTTTCCTGAGGGTGGTCCTATGTGGTCTTTCAGTCCTGGTTGGTGATGGGAGGGGGGATTGCCTATACCTTGTACTACACATAGGTGGGGGATGGTCAGTCCTAAAAATTGGGGACAATTGGGCTGTAGACGATGGCCAGGCCATGTATCGTCCGTGACCCTGTATTCATGGGGTGTAGACGATGGCCAGCGCACGTATCGTCCGTGACCCTGTATTCATGGGGTGTAGACGATGGCCAGCGCACGTATCGTCCGTGACCCTGTATTCATGGGGTGTAGACTATGGCCAGCGCGCGGATCGTCCGTGACCGCGTATTCATGGGGTGTAGACGATGGCAAGCGCGCGGATCGTCCGTGACCCCGTATTCATGGGGGTGTAGACGATGGCCAGCGCGCGGATCGTCCGTGACCGCGTATTCATGGGGGTGTAGACGATGGCCAGCGTGCGGATCGTCCGTGACCCCGTATTCATGGGGGTGTAGACGATGGCCAGCGTGCGGATCGTCCGTGACCCCGTATTCATGGGGTGTAGACGATGGCCAGCGCGCGGATCGTCCGTTACCCCGTATTCATGGGGTGTAGACGATGGCCAGCACGCGGATCGTCCGTGACCCCGTATTCATGGGGTGTAGACGATGGCCAGCGCGCGGATCGTCCGTGACCCTGTATTCATGGGGTGTATACAATCCCTGTATTCATGGCGTGTAGACGATAGCCAGCGCGCGGATCATCCATGTGTGCCATATTGTAGATAATGGCCGGCCTATGGTGGCGCCATATTGTAGATAATGGCCGGCCTATGGTGGCGCCATAATGTAGATAATGGCCGGCCTATGGTGGCGCCAGATTGTAGATAATGGCCGGCCTATGGTGGCGCCAGATTGTAGATAATGACTACTACACCAAAAGGCTAATGCAACAGCTGATCTCCAGCCTTCCCTTCAGTCTTGCACGGTTGTAGCGGCTCCTCTCCTGGACTGAAATGTCTTCCTCTGATCTCACTGCACACTGCGAGCTTCTCATAATGTGCATTACAAGCTGCAGCAAGTCAGCTCATAATGCAATATGCGAATATGGAAATGCCAGCGGGCAGTGGCAACTGTCCTTGTTATTGTGCAGCACCTCACGCCCGCAGCGGATCTCATGAGTCTTATGGAGGAATTCATGACATTCATGTGGTCAGCCGTGTCAATGGGGCCTTATACCTTTTGTCTGTCCGTCCGTCCTTCCATCCGTCCATTATAGTTTGCTTATGTATAGCCTTATACCTTTTATAACATATACTGTATATAGATGCACCGAAATCTCAGCTGCCAAAATATTTCGCCCGAAAATTGGTACTTTGGGCAAAATCCCGATGGTATAGAAGCGTGCGAAAATGTGGTGCGTCCCCAGCTTCTCTTCTCCCCACAGGGCACCGGCTGTAAGCTTTGGTCTGTGTCACCTCCGATGCCGGCTGCTCTCCCCTGCGTCTATCGGCAGAGGCGGCGGGGATCAGGGGGGGGTCACAGAGCGGATCCAGCTGCTGGTTTCTTAGTGGGGGAGGAGAGAAGCTGTCAGGAGGCTGAGCGGTGCATTGCGGGAGGAGAGCTTGTGTCCTGTGACAGGCAGAGCAGTCAGGATGGAGAGTACAAGCAAAACAAATGGCAAACGCACTCCTCAATTCGTTACCAGCTTTACAGCAAGGTGCACATGGAAGGGCTTTATACAGCAACAGCAAAAAGTTTCCCAGCACACTCGCCAGCCAGCATGCAAAAAAAACTTGTCTCACCGCTAAGGTTAAAAACAGAGGTTTAGATACACGTCTTCTGCAGAAAATGTGGAAGACGCACAGCCGCGCCAAGGCAACTCTATATAGTGCGGTCCTAACTCTAAACTATGAGAGTCTCCATCTTGGAGTACATGTGGCAGAAGATTAAATTGGGTGCAGGATGGAGAGTACAGCTCAAACATTCAATGATCAGTGTTTGTAAATAACTGAGGACAGAGTATGTTCACTGTGTCCCTGGTTATGAATGAACAGGAAGTGTTCTACATCACCTACTGTTCATTTTTTAATGGGGACATAGTAAATATTTACAATCTGCTCACTTTATGAATGAACAGGAAGCAGCTCAGTACAGAGGCTTCATGTCCATTCATGACTGGGTTCATAGTAAATATTTACTGTCTCCAGATTGGGAATGAATAGGAAGCCTGTGTAGCTCCTGTTCATTCATAACAGGGGTTGCAGAAAAAGAGATTGGGAGCTGTACCCTCAATAATTTCTGTGTATAGGTGATGCATGGGAGAAGGCAAGCCCGCCATGTGATCTGTTGTGGAACTACAAATCCCATGAGGCATAGCAAGACTTTGACAGCCAGACTCCCAGTGGCTGAAGAATGCTGGGATTTGTAGTTTCACCACAGCTGAGGTTGCCTACCCCTGTTATACATGTACGGAATATAAAGGATATATACAGACACGCATATATATTGTGTGTGTGTACACATATACTGTATATTCCCTTTTTTATTCTTGCATGTTCTATTCCGCTCTCTGCATTCGGATACGATGAGTTGTCCTCCATGTGTCACCCCGGGTGTGGTCCTCTCCTGTATCCGTCCTCCCATCTTGTTTGGTCTGTTTATGTTCTGTTCTCCATCTCTTCTTCATTGGAAATAACTGATTGCTTCCTGTTTAGAGTTCTCTATGTGATCAGGAAAATCTTTGAAGCCCCGGATCTCCCCGGTACACGAGCCCTGTGGTGGCTGCACATTGCCTTTTGCTGTGAGTGTATGATGCATGCATGTTTGCTGCCTGTCCTTCACTGATGTGTCAGACAAAGGCGGGGGTGGGGATGACATTGCGGAGCTAATACTGTACTAATCTCCTGTTCTGGCTTCATCACAGCTAGTACACAGGACACGCTCGCATCCCCTCTGAATTGTCCCTTTTCTTTGTAATTTATTTTGCATACCAAGTCGGTTCTGTTGGTAGGTTCTAGTATCCCGGATGCCGTAAATAAGCGTCCGGAAAAACCAAATCACTTTCTTATCCATGTATATGGTTTTGTGACAACACGGGAACTAACATTCTCAGAGGAAAGCTCAGCCATGGCGCCCCCAGACTTCTCTGATGACCAGGTCACTTTAAATACTGCAGACTTCTGGCTGGGGACCCCTGGGAGTCTCTCGGGGGAGCAGGAAAAGGAGCTGGTGAGAAAATTAGGGAGAATTTCCCAATATTAAAAGAAAAAGGTTTTGTCTGGAGTTCCACTTTGATTGTGTGAATCATATCATGATTTGTGTACATTGTTTCCTGGCTAATGTATCCCAAAGTGGCCTCTGCTCATCCTTTCCGATGACCCAACACGCCGTCTTTAGCACAAGTTCCTCTTTATGCAGAACTTCAGTCTAATCAAAAAGCATTACTATATATATATAATATAATATAATATAATTAGTGAGTAGTTTTTGCCCAGAATGGTCCATTTTGCCATTTCCGTTTTTGCCGCTCATTTCGGAGCCAACCATGGAAAGATTTTGTTCAATCATGGAAGGTCAGTGTTCTTTTTTTTTTTCCTGGTTCAGATTTGTTCAACTGAGCGGAAGGACTGTACATACACAGGAGCCAACATTTTAATTTGGGTGAATGCACCTAGCACACATGAGATTAATTCAACTTTAGGGGCCAGTTCACTCCATAAACAGTGCATTCCAGAGCGGTCAGCTTCTGGAAAGTACTGTATCGTACTCCGGCCGGCTTCCTGCAATCAGGGGCGTGGCTATGGCAGCATTGACTTCAATGCACCATAGACACGCCCTCTGCCGCCCTTAAGTACGGAGTATGATATAGTACTTTCCAGAGGCTGTCCGCTCTGGAACGCACTATTTATGGTGTGAACCGGCCCTAAACCCAGGATTCCTACAAATTTTGTTATTGGATTCAATTGGTTTTAATTGGAAAGATATGTGAATCCTGGGTGAAAGTGGAAACTGGAAAGGGTATTGTTTCAATATTCTTAAATTACATTGTGATTATTTCCTATTGCCATGTTAGACTCCAGTAGTGTTTAAAATGTGACTCCTCTTAGGCACGGTCCCCTGCAGTAATTACTTTCCACCACTAGATGTCCTCAGCGGGTTGGATGATGGGTGAGTGACCGGGTGTCATTGGCTCGCCCCTGAGGAAGACCTCTGTAAAAGATAAGTGTAATAAAATAAAAAAAGCATATATGGCAGGGGGGGGGGGGCAGGAAGGGAGAGCCTGGTTTGGGCTTTAACATGTTTTGCTAACCTGTCTAAAGGGCGGTGGAGATGGGAGGCAGCAGAGCAACATCACTGACTATTGGTTTGGCAGGTAAAAAAGTTTACATGTATTGCAAAACAATACCGGCGCCTTCAAATCCAAAAGAGCCCAGCAGTAAAAATACACCACCAGTCTATGAGAAAAGGAACAAAAGAGAGTGCCTCCATAGTGTAAACATTTTATTTAATAGTAAAAACACGCAGCTCTAAGGCTATATTTACAACAGTTCGGTAGAATAAAAACCAGTAGAATAAGGTGAGAGGACGGAACCCCTGGCAGGGAGAATCTGGAGCGATTTAAAACGCCAGTAACCGCGATCCCTGTGTTGGTAAACGGTTTACGCGTTTCTGATGCACGCCCCCTTCATCATGGTTCTGATGAAGGGAGCGTGCCCCAGAAACGCGTAAACCGTTTCTGGTGCACGCCCCCTTCATCATGGTTCATCATGGTTCATCATGGATCGCTCCAGATTCTCCCTGCCAGGGGTTCCGTCCTCTCACCTTATTCTACATTTT